ACCAGTCTTTGTTGCTAAATAAATTGTAATGTAATAACAGTGTTCATTTCTCCTAGTACTCTTTCTCGTCTAAACAGATAGTGTGGGTTGAACTGGATAAATAGGCTAGGTCTCGGTGGTTCCGACTCCCCTGCTTTCCTTCTGCTTCTGACTCCGAATCAGATGAATCACTCAGAAAAAGATCTTGTTTAAGTAAATCAACTGCCTCCTCAAGAACCGGTCTGAACCTACTGGCTGGTCCAGAGGAGGTTACGCCCGTGGCTGGTTTTACTTTAAATTTGGCTAGTTCCAACTGTTTCTTGGTCAAACTTTCTGCCGGTCTGTTCCATTTGGCTGGTGGTTTTGCCTGTTCTCTGGTGACATCTTTCATAATTTCTGGCTCTACTTTGTAGAATGGGTGCATATTACGTAAATGTTTCTCATAGTTGTCCATTCTGCCAAACGTTGTTTTGCATATTTTGCATCGATAAAACGTAGATCTATTTCCGTGTATGTTATTGACATGACGGCGTAAGTTACCCATTGTGGTGTAGCATTTTCCACAGAGTATGCACGGGATAGATGGTCTCCATGATTTCTGTGACTTTTTCTTGCTGTCTCCCATTTGGTTATGTTAGGATATTCAAGCCCCACGGTCGTTGTGTTTGTAGTGTATAAATCCAACTTTCTTCGGTTCTCAACCGTGTGTTAACGTCACTGATACCCGACGTAATTCCGGTAACTGTGACGTCATCAGCATTGTGTCCGGGAGAGCTGAAATGTGCCGCGACAGGCTTGCTCTCATCACGGCGGTAGATGTCATATAGATGGTTTCTAATTCTGATGTTGATAGTGTTAGATGTTTGCCCTACATATTGAATGTTACATTTCTTGCATGTAATAAGATATATGGCGTTGATACTTTGACAGTCTATGTATTTAGTGATCTTGTGACTTCTATTGTTTGAGCTACTCTTCACGTGTTCCGTGTTACACATATATACGCAGATTCTACAGTTTTTCCCGCACGGCTTGTTCCCGGCGGGTTTTAGTTCTCTGGCTATATCACTATGAACTAAGTAATTCCTGATGGATTTCGGTTTAGTGTGTGCTACCAGTATTCTCGCTTGATCGAGAATTTTCTGGGTATCGGGGTTGTAGCGTAGTATATGTTCGTAATTCTTTATTATCTTTCCTATTGGTGGATTTTGAGGGTTGTACGTCAGTACGAATGCTATGGCCGGCTGGGTTTCGGTGTTTTGTTGGCCAGGGTGAGCCAGGTTAATAGGGATAGTCTCTTTAACAAGCAACAAAACACCGAAACCCAGCCGGCCATAGCATTCGTACTGACGTACAACCCTCAAAATCCACCAATAGGAAAGATAGTAAAGAATTACGAACATATACTACGCTACAACCCCGATACCCAGAAAATTCTCGATCAAGCGAGAATACTGGTAGCACACACTAAACCGAAATCCATCAGGAATTACTTAGTTCATAGTGATATAGCCAGAGAACTAAAACCCGCCGGGAACAAGCTGTGCGGGAAAAACTGTAGAATCTGCGTATATATGTGTAACACGGAACACGTGAAGAGTAGCTCAAACAATAGAAGTCACAAGATCACTAAATACATAGACTGTCAAAGTATCAACGCCATATATCTTATTACATGCAAGAAATGTAACATTCAATATGTAGGGCAAACATCTAACACTATCAACATCAGAATTAGAAACCATCTATATGACATCTACCGCCGTGATGAGAGCAAGCCTGTCGCGGCACATTTCAGCTCTCCCGGACACAATGCTGATGACGTCACAGTTACCGGAATTACGTCGGGTATCAGTGACGTTAACACACGGTTGAGAACCGAAGAAAGTTGGATTTATACACTACAAACACAACGACCGTGGGGCTTGAATATCCTAACATAACCAAATGGGAGACAGCAAGAAAAAGTCACAGAAATCATGGAGACCATCTATCCCGTGCATACTCTGTGGAAAATGCTACACCACAATGGGTAACTTACGCCGTCATGTCAATAACATACACGGAAATAGATCTACGTTTTATCGATGCAAAATATGCAAAACAACGTTTGGCAGAATGGACAACTATGAGAAACATTTACGTAATATGCACCCATTCTACAAAGTAGAGCCAGAAATTATGAAAGATGTCACCAGAGAACAGGCAAAACCACCAGCCAAATGGAACAGACCGGCAGAAAGTTTGACCAAGAAACAGTTGGAACTAGCCAAATTTAAAGTAAAACCAGCCACGGGCGTAACCTCCTCTGGACCAGCCAGTAGGTTCAGACCGGTTCTTGAGGAGGCAGTTGATTTACTTAAACAAGATCTTTTTCTGAGTGATTCATCTGATTCGGAGTCAGAAGCAGAAGGAAAGCAGGGGAGTCGGAACCACCGAGACCTAGCCTATTTATCCAGTTCAACCCACACTATCTGTTTAGACGAGAAAGAGTACTAGGAGAAATGAACACTGTTATTACATTACAATTTATTTAGCAACAAAGACTGGTTAAAAGCAATTATATTCAAGGCAGTTATCTACCCGTTCTATTTCTATCTTTGTACATACGTCATAATTCTAAGTTATCCTCCCGAAGAGTACTTCAGGGGGTATGTTTACTGAAAATATTGTCCTGATGAAGACCTTGCGATAAGGTCGAAACTAGTAGACAGTAAAGTTTCTACTTTATGATATAAGCTTGAGTATGTTGCGGTTTTTATTCTTTGATTATAATTAGTTTATTTGTCTATAACTGCCCTGCATACCTCAGGTATCCATACTCAACGCGAACTACCCATCCAAAATACCCTCCGAGATCCACCTGACGTTGGCTCCTCCGCTATAGTTGCTTCTGTACAGTTGTGCCATGTAATTTACTAATTTACAGGGTATTAATAGATAAAAAAAGTTTCCTAACTGTTTCACAAAATCCAACACAGATCCCCCTAAATGCCTAAAAGTTCTTTACAGTAATACACATACAGTGTCCAAAACTGTTTTTCTTTCTATATCAACAATAGATTATGGTTTCCTGAAGGCTTCTACATTGTTCAGCTTACCTTATCTTCAAAGCTTTTAGGAGTGAGATGGAAGTCATATAATGGAACAAAGTATCCCTCCAGGAGCCCCATCAGCAGGATCAGGTATACACCATCATGGAACTGTGAAAGTTTTGGTAAAATTTACTGCTGGTTCAGTTATACTACATCATTGAACTAGGAAAGTACTGGTGAAATTTTACAGCTGGTTCAAATTTGTCACCTCATAGAAATGTACAAGTAAAATTTACAGTAGTATAATTCACCATTATGTAACTGTCAAAGTTCTGGTAAAATCACAGCTGGCTCAGATATACCTATCATGGAATTGTGAAAGTTCCGGTAAAATTGACAGCTGGTTCAGATAAACTACATCATTGAACCATAAAAGAACTGGTAAAATTGACAGTTGGTTCAAATATGCCCTTTCATGGAATTGTGAGAGTACTTGTGAAATTTTACAGCTGGTTCAGATATACACGATCATGGAAATGTCAAATTATTGTTAAAATTACAGCTAGGTCAGATAGTGTAAACATAGTTATTTTTGCTTGGAGCTGATTTCAAGATTTGCATATTTAATGAATATTTTAGTGTGTTTGCAACACATCACAAATTTATTTGTGTGGGTAAAATTTAAGCTTCCAAATGACTTTCGTGTAGTTGGTGTAAATCCCCCTTCTCCACATGTAAATTTTCATGTTTAAAAACTGTCAAAAACTGATGAAATTTACACCTTGTTCAGACATACCTGGTACACTATCATATAACAGTCAAAGTACTGATTTTCAAATATATCCTTAAACTTAAAAGGTACAATTTGAGATAAAGAACCTACATATGAAATGCGGGAGAGATTGATAAAAAGTGATAAGAATCTTTAAATGGACCTAATCTAAGAAAATTGTCTAACAGTCATCTAATTTTAACATTAATTCTCAACACTGAACTAGAATAACAATGAACAGTAACCTCCATTTGAAAAGATCCATAACATACTTCTATAGCAAGGCCAATGACAAACTTAATCCATGAAAATCCAAGAAGACTGCATGTCAGTTATCTGTTTTCTGGTTATTCTCAAAATCAAGCTTGCAAAACTTGAGACAAAGGAGAACCTGCCTACAATATTTCAGAAAGATCCACCACTTACTTTTTCAAAATCGAAAATGGCCATCAAAGAAAAGGAAATAAGAGGACAAACTTCACATACCTTATATGGTAAAATTGGTTAATTTTTATTGCAGCACATAGAAATTTATAGATAACTATTACAACTAAAGCAACTGAATAAGCATTTCAATCCATTCCTTAGGCCATTCTGGTCAAGCATATTTTACAGACAGTAAAAACCGCAAAATGACATATATCCTTTCATGGCCTATTTTAGTAGAAAAATGCACAATAACATTGGCCCTTAAATAGCCACAAAGTTATTGAATAATAGAATACCTGTTGGTCAAGGTCAGTTACTTCAAGATTTATCTTCAACATCTGTTTGTTGACAAAAGTCACTAGAGTCTGCAACAAAAGAAAGTTGTTATTGTACTGACATTTCAATCAACAAAATTGATTCATAGTGAGTAACCATTCAGATGTTTCCATCAGGTTATTTAAAATTCTTTACTCACAACTACATTCCTCCTTACAAACTTTGTGTTATGAAAAGTCACACATACAATAACACATTTTAAGACTCTTATGCTGATTTGTCTATATCTTTCCATTGCTATCATACCAAGGTGTTAGATGCTTACCTTTTTAACTAAGTTAAGTTTATCAGGTGCATGGTCAAATAGTGTATCAAAGGCATCTCGTTCTGAAATAGTAAATAAGTAAATGTAAGGAAACTATAATCAGGCTCCTATGGTCAAGAGTAAATTAAGAAGTTGCCCTGTTTTGTATGATTTAACCATCTTGATTTTTTTGAAGCATTGCAAGACAAATGATCTCCATAATATCTTTGCACCTACTATGATGATGAAATCCAACAGTTCACTTCACTTTCTATAAGTGATACACTGTCCAAAATCTAATGAGTTATGAAAATTATTGAGATTTTTAATCTGAAGAATGAAATTGTATTTCTTTTCCATTTTTTCCCATTTAAAAGTTTGAAATATACATGTCATACTTACCAAATCGGGCACCAATATCCCTGCAAAATAAATAGTGAACAAAAAGTTCAATTGACATGAAGAAATCGTTTAAATAATACAAACTGTAATTTAATTTGACATTTAAAATTATTCCAATCAATAGAATGTTTTGATAACTTTATTTCAGGAATGAAATTCACAAACATGTCTGGTAAAACAATCAGCTGAATCAATATTGGGATATATGTCCCACAGCTCCATACTTAATCAGCTGTATCAATATTGGGATATGTGTCCCACAGCACCATACTTAATCAGCTGTATCAATACAGGGATAAACTGTCCATTAGCTTCATACTTACTCATTGACAGTTGTAATCTCTTCTGTCACCTGTCTTGGGAACAGTCTACCATCTCGTTTCTGTTAGAAATAAATTGTACAGTTCATGAAAATAAAATTTAAAATAAATAGTCCAATATACTAGACTGCAATTTAATTATAATTTCGAGCAAATGTAAATATTAAACTTTCAAATGTCAAAAGTACCAAAATTAAGTATCATAAAGGTCACATATCATTTTCCATAAATTTGTAATTACAAATGTACTAAAAACATACAAACTGAGTTTAAACCATGATACCCTAGTACCTGTGAAGTTGTAGCAAGGTCTGGTTTTAAACCAAATATAATAGTATTTCATGACAAAACTAGATGTGTTGGCGATACACAAATGGCCCCACCTGCATCCAAGGAGAAGTTTGGAACTTTACTATGCTATTGGTTTTGTTCAGAGGGGTACTCATGAATTTTATGAATTTACAGAAATTGTCTAATGCGACCTTTACCCTACAATCTTGACCAATGCCCACCATAATATGATAATATGTACACCTTAAGGTCACTATGAGGTAAATATAAACCAGATATGACACTAATACTGGTTCTGAACAGAACGAGATGGATGTACATGAGTAACACTGCATACTCCCCTGTACAATGGCAGGGACATAAAAATGTTTGTCTGAAATTTGATGTACCTTCCAGTATCTCTTGTAATGTTCACAAGTACATGTATCATTATACTAATCAATTAGAGGGTGTTAGACATTGTATCTAATGGATCTTTTGTTTTATGGTAGATGGGATAAGGAAATCTGAAAGTTCCATCAATATATCTAAATGAATCACCAAAAATGAGTAGTGAGTATATCTTACCTGTACAACCATCAGTGTGATACAGACATTTTCTGGTAGTCTAATAGGTGCCCTAAAGTGACGAGCCAGGCTCACCAACAGGTGTAAAATTGCTACAAGATTCTTAGAGTGGATACCTGAAAATATGAAATTATAATTATGATAGCTCTCTTGATTCTTTATCATAAAAAGGGTATGCACTAACACTTTAGAAAAAAATCAATGACAGGTGCTATATATTGGTTGATACAAAAATTAAGCGCAACTTAATGGCTACTCTCATTTTAGTTGTAATATAATCAATTACACAATTTAGTCTTAAGGCCATGATTTTATACAAAAACTGTCTGACTTACTATCTATGCTCCACTTGGACTGACTCCAGGTAGGAGGTAGCTGTAAAGTCTCATTGATTACATCCAGTACAATCCACAGCTTCTGTTTCTGGGCCTGCTCAGACTGGGTCACCTCTGGGACTTTTACCCTGATATGAGCTAGCTTCTCTGTTAGAAATAAGAAATAAATTTATCTCCCTTTCAGATAGTGTGGGTAAAGTGTGACAAAATGAAAAGCTTGGCATAAACAGAGAGTTTTGACTGACAATACAGTGTAAATTTTACCAGTGATTTTTGTGAGATGATCCAAATGAAATGATGTAGTTGTAAAGGCCACAGCTTTAAATTATATTACTTAGTCTACAAAGCAGCAAAGAAAAGTTTAAAGAAATGTGATAATAAGTGACCAATGATATAAACCAACATATTGAAGGTAAAAGCAAATTGATGTGATCTATATTCATGTATGATGCATGATTAAGCCTTAAAAATATCATTTTCTGATTTCTTTTAAAACGAACTCTTCAGTGTATCAGTAATTACCAATTAATTTCTGCAGAATCTGTCCATCAAAGAGATCTTCTTCAATATCCTTGACAATAATTCTATCATCTGCTAACACATCATTGATCCAGTCAAGAAGCATCTGAAAAAAAGTGATTTTTTTTTTTAAAAATGTCTTTATCTCAAACAGAAATCATTTTTTGGTAGACAACACACAAAACATATTTTTGCAAATTGAAACAGAACAAGGGAAAATTTTGATAATGTAATACAAATGTATAAGACCCTGTTAACAGAACTCACCTTAATCAACTCTTTAACTTTTGGATCCTCTCTTGACTGGGGTTCAATCATGGATCTTTCCTCATTGTCATCTATATGAAAATATGTAAAAGCCACACAGTTAAATAACTTAATTTGTTCAATCAATGAGACGAGGGAAAACTACATATGGTCAGTAATCAATATAATCATCTATCATTTCAAATAAATACTTTATAGAGCAAAAATTGACAGGAAAAGAATCTGTGAGATAGGGAAAATATAAGTCAGAAAAAGGTAATCGTCAATACAATCAAAATGTACTAGTAACACAACATACCAAAGTAACTACAGCTATGATACTGACTCAGTCTGATACTGTGTAGCAGTGTCAGAATTACATATACTACATCCCTCTGGTGTTCAGTCTGATACTGTGCAGCAGTGTCAGAATTACTTACCCAAACTATATACCCCTGGTGTTCAGTCTGATACTGTGCAGCAGTGTCAGAAATACATACCCATACTGTATCCTTCTGGCCCAATGTCAGCAAATGTAGGACTGGTAGGTGCTTCAATGGCATTTTTACCTTCTTCTTGGAGTTCACTTACTGTAAATAAGATGAAAAATAAGAATGCTTGCTTTTAAACCCCTAGTAAGCTTTCATTGATTAACAATGCATTACCATACATATTTATTTTAGATAAGATAAAACTGAGTTTAGGACACTTGATCTGTCCTTTGAGCCAGTATCTCAATATTTTTTCATTGAATCTTTTTTTTTTCACTTCTTTACTAGACCAGAATTTGGTTGGTTGGGGTTGCCTTATCACCTGTTCTATGTGTCTGTGATTTGTTCATAACAATTCTTTAAATTTTTTTTAAATGATATACAAAATGCTTTAGTTACTTTGAAGTATTCTTATGAAATACTTTTACAGATCATCAAAATAATCAATTTACTCTCATGTATGCTATTTAATATACTTTTTGCCTGATTATCTTTTATTGCTCATTGTTATTCAAAAATCTTAGTCTAGGAGGAGTAGCCTATACATCCTTGTGTCTACAGATGGACAGATGAATGGGCACACAATCTGATTCCAGTATATCCTCTCCACTACCCCCAACATTGCATTGGCCAATCTGGTTGGTTTTTTCCTCCTTTATACCTATTGCTCCCAGTATTGTATTTTGATGTATGAGCTACATATATTATTTACTTTGTAATTGCCTTCTGCCCACAGAGGTGATTATCATTACATAACCATTTATGTCAAAGTAATTTGTTCGATATCAAAAGAATGTGTCTGTATGATTCAGCATCTATATATATGGCTTTGTGTTAGAATCATTGCTGGGTATAAATTTGAATAAAAAAAATCACTAGTCCGGAACTCTCCGAGTTTGGTCGTGTTTTTGTCAACTACTGAGTACCCTTGTGAAGTACAAGTGCAAGTAAAGTACCTATACATGGGAGATAACCCATAAACAAATATATACAACTAAACAGAGCACCCGATACATTCTTTATCATATATATTATAGTTTTGTAACACAAATAATGATGATTTGGACAAGGTAGCAAATGCCTGGATGACACTGAGGTCATTATCATTGCATTTCCATTTATGGTAATATTGTTGATCCTGCACAGCACGAAAATTTGGATAAACATTCCAAATATTTCGAACGGATATTGTTATTACAACGAAAACCTACCGCAAACGATACGCTTTTACGCTCCCAAACATTTTACAATTACCTTCTTTTGCTTTCTTCTTCCTTCCCAATGTACCAATTTTATCCAGAAAGGAGTCTTCCTTCTTTCTCGGAGTTGCTGGAGGTGGAGAACTTGGTTGTGTAGCCATTTTGGATTTCTTCACTTCCGTTGTGAAGGTCAAAGGTTAAAAGCAAATAAAATCACAAAGAAATAAACAATATGATATTCATTCTGAAAACGAAAAATTGATAATTTCTTTTGCCAAGATTTCAAAATAGAATTTAAGGTATTTCTTTTTTTGTTTGCGATGATTTGTAAAAGAAATATTGCCACAGCTAAATTTAGTTTGAGAGTATCTTGTGAAAGTTACGCAAACACAAGGAAGTGCAAAGAACAAAATACCAACGAGATTTCCAGGGAAAAACAGAAGGTAAACGAAATTATTAGCTTTAACGGAGACACATGTCGCGTTATTAGGTATATACTTATTGTTTTGAATGGTCCCTTTGATGCTGTCACTCGGTAGGAGTAACATAAGAGTACCGCGGGGCGGAACAATATACAGAAGCACCGCGCACCCGGATTTACCGGCAGTCCAGCACACTACCATCTCCATCGAAGTTTGTCAAAAGCAAAGAGAAAATACATTATAATGTTATTGTATGGAATTGAATACAAACAGAAATGAATCAATATATTTTACTCACTGGGTATATATTGTTGATACAGATATAGAGGCTTTCAGTCTGTATCAATCAATTTTCCTGATAAATATTTTTTAGAGAGTGAGTAAGAGCAATTAAAAAAACCCCACCGTAATTCCAGTAGGAACTTTAACAGGTTCAAACAATGAATGATTGACATGTTTTCCGTCTCCGTGACTCCTTCCGTGTCGGGGTATCATCTCAACGACGAACATAAGTGTTCTGGAGACATTGGTTCAAAGATACTGGTACACTGTATAAGTTGGGGAGAAACAAGGCCAGATCAGAACAAGTCTGAGGCGCTTTCCCTGACAGTCTGTTAATGATATGAGATTGTCATGTTATGACTATATCTGACTTCACTCGTCATCTGGATAAAACTGATTGAGACCTACAGTCCATTCACTTCACATGGCAACCAAGTAACAATTTAGGCCATTTGGCAATTAATTTCACCTGATAGCTTGTTGGTGATATAGGCATTTTGACTATTCACTTCACATGTAGCAGGGTTAATGATTTAGTCCATCCAGCTATTCACTTTATTTGGCAGACAGGTAATGATATACATCATATTGACTGTTCACTTCACCTTGCAATCAGTAATTATTTTAGACTTTCAGGCTATTCACTTGAACCAGCAGCCCGTTTATGATATATCATATGTGAGGCTATTCACTTCACCTGCCATTTGCTTAATTATTTAAACCTTCATGCTATTCACTTCACTTCCTTTTACCTTGGAGCCAGAAAATGATTTTAGCATCAGACCATTTACCCCTTCTTACAGCAAGATAGCATTTATACATTTAGTCTGTTCACTTCACCAGGCATATAGAAAATGATGTAGACCTTCAGACAGTTTAATTCACCTGTCAGCCAGCCAGCCAGCCAAGTAAGAAATTAGATGTTCATGCAATTCACTTCCCCCATTAGCCAAGTAAGATTTTAGACCTTAAGGCTATTCACTTCACCTGTCAGCCAAGTAAGGAATTAGATGTTCATGCTATTCACTTCACCTGTCAGCCAACTAAGGAATTAGACCATCAGGCTATTCACTTCACCTGTCAGCCAATTAAGGAATTAGACCATCAGGCTATTCACTTCAGCTGTCATCCAAGTAAGGAATTAGACCATCAGGCTATTCACTTCACCTGTCAGCCAAGTAAGAATTTAGACAATCAGGCTATTCACTTCACCTATCAGTCAAGTATGGATTAAGACCCTCAGTCTTTTCACTTTACCAGGCATATAGATTATTCACTTGTCAGCCAGCCAGCCAAGTGAGGAATTAGATGTTCATGATATTTACTTCACCTGTCAGCCAAGTAAGAATTTAGAACTTTAGGCTATTCACTTCACCTGTCAGCCAAGTAAGTAATTAAATCTTCAGGCTATTCACTTCACCTGTCAGCCAATTAAGGAACTAGACAATCAGGCTATTAACTTCACCTGTCAGCCAAGTAAGAATTTAGACCTTTAGGCTATTCACTTCACCTGTCAGCCAAGTACGATTTTAGACCTCTAGGCTATTTACTTCTTCTGTCAGCCAAGTAAGGAATTAGACCTTTAGGCTATTCACTTCACCTGTCAGCCAAGTAAGGAATTAGACCATCAGGCTATTCACTTCACCTGTCAGCCAAGTAAGGAATTAGACCATCAGGCTATTCACTTCACCTGTCATCCAAGTAAGAAATTAGACCATCAGGCTATTCACTTCACCTGTCAGCCAAGTAAGAATTTAGACCTTCAGGCTATTCACTTCACCTGTCATCCAAGTAAGGAATTAGACCATCAGGCTATTTACTTCTTCTGTCAGCCAAGTAAGGAATTAGACCTTTAGGCTATTCACTTCACCTGTCAGCCAAGTATGAATTTAGACCTTTAGGCTATTCACTTCAGCTGTCAGCCAAGTTAGAATTCAGACCTTTAGGCTATTCACTTCTCCTGTCAGTCAAGTAAGGAATTAGACCTTTAGGCTATTCACTTCAGCTGTCAGCCAAGTTAGAATTCAGACCTTTAGGCTATTCACTTCACCTGTCAGCCAAGTAAGGAATTTAGACCTATATTCACTTCACCTGTCAGCCAAGTCACTTCACCTGTCAGCCAAGTAAGAATTTAGACCTTTAGGCTATTCACTAGACCAAGTCAGGCTATTCACTTCACCTGTCAGCCAAGTAAGAATTTAGACCTTTAGGCTATTCACTTCACCTGTCAGCCTGTTAGAAGTCAGCCAAGTAAGAATTTAGACCTTTAGGCTATTCACTTCACCTGTCAGCCAAGTATGGAATTAGACCTTTAGGCTATTCACTTCACCTGTCAGCCAAGTAAGGAATTAGACCATCAGGCTATTCACTTCACTTGTCAGTCAAGTAAGGAATTAGACCATCAGGCTATTCACTTCACCTGTCAGCCAAGTAAGGAATTAGACCATCAGGCTATTCACTTCACCTGTCAGCCAAGTAAGAATTCAGACCTTCAGGCTTTTCACTTCACCGGTCAGCCAAGTAAGGATTTAGACCTTTAGGCTATTCACTTCACTTGGCAGCCAAGTACAGAATTAGACCATCAGGCTATTCACTTCACCTGTCATCCAAGTAAGGAATTAGACCATCAGGCTATTCACTTCAGCTGTCAGCCAAGTTAGAATTTAGACCTTTAGGCTATTCACTTCACCTGTCAGCCAAGTAAGGAATTAAACCATCAGGCTATTCACTTCACCTGTCAGCCAAGTAAGAATTTAGACTTTTAGATTATTCACTTCACCTGTCAGCCAAGTAAGAATTAGACCTTCCTTCAGCCAAGTAGGCTATTCACTTCACCTGTCAGCCAAGTAAGGAATTAGACCTTTAGGCTATTCACTTCAGCTGTCAGCCAAGTTAGAATTCAGACCTTTAGGCTATTCACTTCACCTGTCAGCCAAGTAAGGAATTAAACCTTCAGGCTATTCACTTCACCTGTCAGCCAAGTAAGGAATTAGACCTTATTCACTTCACCTGTCAGTCAGACTATTCACTTCACCTGTCAGCCAAGTAAGAATTCAGACCTTCAGGCTATTCACTTCACCTGTCAGCCAAGTAAGAATTTAGACCTTTAGGCTATTCACTTCACCTGTCAGCCAAGTAAGAATTTAGACCTTTAGGCTATTCACTTCACCTGTCAGCCAAGTAAGAATTTAGACCTTTAGGCTATTCACTTCACCTGTCAGTCAAGTAAGGAATTAGACCATCAGGCTATTCACTTCACCTGTCAGCCAAGTATGAATTTAGACCTTTAGACTATTCACTTCACCTGTCAGCCAAGTAAGAATTTAGACCTTTAGGCTATTCACTTCACCTGTCAGCCAAGTATGGAATTAGACCTTTAGGCTATTCACTTCACCAGCCAAGTGTCAGCCAAGTGTCAGCCAAGTAAGAATTTAGACCTTTAGGCTATTCACTTCACCTGTCAGCCTTTAGGCTATTCACGTCACCTGTCAGCCAAGTATGAATTTAGACCTTTAGGCTATTCACTTCAGCTGTCAGCCAAGTAAGGAATTAAACCTTCAGGCTATTCACTTCACCTGTCAGCCAAGTAAGGAATTAGACCATCAGGCTATTCACTTCACCTGTCAGCCAAGTAAGAATTTAGACCTTTAGGCTATTCACTTCATCTGTCAGCCAAGCAAGAATTTAGACCTTTAGGCTATTCACTTCATCTGTCAGCCAAGTAAGAATTTAGACCTTTAGGCTATTCACTTCACTGTCAGCCAAGTGTTAGACCTTTAGGCTATTCACTTCACCTGTCAGTCAAGTAAGGAATTAGACCATCAGGCTATTCACTTCACCTGTCAGCCAAGTATGGAATTAGACCTTTAAGCTATTCACTTCACCTGTCAGCCAAGTAAGGAATTAAACCTTCAGGCTATTCATTTCACCTGTCAGCCAAGTAAGTAAGAATTTAGATTCAGGCTATTCACTTCACTTGTCGGCCAAGTAAGAATTCAGATCTTCAGGCTATTCACTTCACCTGTCAGCCAAGTAAGAATTTATACCTTTAGACTATTCACTTCAGCTGTCAGCCAAGTAAGAATTTAGACCTTTAGGCTATTCACTTCACCTGTCAGCCAAGTAAGGAATTAGACCATCAGGCTATTTACTTCTTCTGTCAGCCAAGTAAGAATTTAGACCTTTAGGCTATTCACTTCACCTGCCAGCCAAGTAAGAATTCAGACCTTCAGGCTATTCACTTCACCTGTCGCCCAAGTAAGGAATTAGACCTTTAGGCTATTCACTTCACCTGTCAGCCAAGTAAGTAATTAAATCTTCAGGCTATTCATTTCACCTGTCATCCAAGTAAGAATTCAGACCTTCAGGCTTTTCACTTCACTTCACCTGTCAGCCAAGTAAGTAATTAAATCTTAGACCTTTAGGCTATTCACTTCACCTGTCAGTCAAGTAAGGAATTAGACCATCAGGCTATTTACTTCTTCTGTCAGCCAAGTATGAATTTAGACCTTTAAGCTATTCACTTCACCTGTCAGCCAAGTAAGGAATTAAACCTTCAGGCTATTCATTTCACCTGTCAGCCAAGTAAGAATTAGACCATCAGGCTATTCACTTCACCTGTCAGCCAAGTAAGGAATTAAACCTCAGGCTATTCACTTTAGTCAGCCAAGTAAGAATTAGACCTTTAGGCTATTCACTTCACCTGTCAGCCAAGTAAGAATTTAGACCTTTAGGCTATTCACTTCAGCTGTCAGCCAAGTTAGAATTTAGACCTTTAGGCTATTCACTTCACCTGTCAGCCAAGTAAGGAATTAGACCTTAAGGCTATTCACTTCACCTGTCAGCCAAGTAAGGAATTAGACCTTTAGGCTATTCACTTCACCTGTCAGCCAAGTAAGGAATTAGACCATCAGGCTATTCACTTCACCTGTCAGCCAAGTAAGAATTTAGACTTTCAGGCTATTCACTTCACCTGTCAGCCAAGTAAGGAATTAGACCATCAGGCTATTCACTTCACCTGTCAGCCAAGTAAGAATTTAGACCTTTAGGCTATTCACTTCACCTGTCAGCCAAGTAAGAATTTAGACCTTTAGGCTATTCACTTCACCTGTCAGCCAAGTAAGAATTTAGACCTTTAGGCTATTCACTTCACCTGTCAGCCAAGTAAGAATTTAGACCTTTAGGCTATTCACTTCAGCTGTCAGCCAAGTAAGAATTTAGACCTTTAGGCTATTCACTTCACCTGTCAGCCAAGTAAGAATTTAGACCTTTAGGCTATTCACTTCAGTCAGCTATTCACTATTCACCTGTCAGCCAAGTAAGAATTTAGACCTTCAGGCTATTCACTTCACCTGTCAGCCAAGTAAGAATTTAGACCTTTAGGCTATTCACTTCACCTGTCAGCCAAGTTTAGACCTTCAGGCTATTCACTTCACCTGTCAGCCAAGTAAGGATTTAGACCTTCAGGCTATTCACTTCACCTGTCAGCCAAGTAAGAATTTAGACCTTTATTCACTTCACCTGTCAGCCAAGTTTAGGCTATTCACTTCACCTGTCAGCAAATTAAGATTTTTTACCTTTAGGCTATTCACTTCACCTGTCAGTCAAGTAAGGAATTAGACCATCAGGCTATTCACTTCACCTGTCAGTCAAGTAAGGAATTAGACCATCAGGCTATTCACTTCACCTGTCAGCCAAGTAAGAATTTAGACCTTTAGGCTATTCACTTCACCTGTCAGCCAAGTAAGAATTTAGACCTTTAGGCTATTCACTTCACCTGTCAGCCAAGTAAGAATTTAGACCTTTAGGCTATTCACTTCACCTGTCAGCCAAGTAAGAATTTAGACCTTTAGGCTATTCACTTCACCTGTCAGCCAAGTAAGAATTTAGACCTTTAGGCTATTCACTTCACCTGTCAGCCAAGTATGAATTTAGACCTTTAGGCTATTCACTTCACCTGTCAGCCAAGTAAGAATTTAGACCTTTAGGCTATTCACTTCACCTGTCAGCCAAGTAAGGAATTAAACCTTCAGGCTATTCATTTCACCTGTCAGCCAAGTAAGATTTTAGACCTTTAGTTTATTTACTTCACCTATCAGCCAAGTACAGAATTAGACCATCAGGCTATTCACTTCACCTGTCAGCCAAGTGTCAGGCTATTCACTTCAGAAGGAGAATTAGACTTTAGGCTATTCACTTCACCTGCCAGCCAAGTAAGAATTCAGACCTTCAGGAATTAGACCATCAGGCTATTCACTTCACCTGTCAGCCAAGTAAGGAATTAGACCTTTAGGCTATTCACTTCACCTGTCAGCCAAGTATGGAATTAGACCTTTAGGCTATTCACTTCAGCTGTCAGCCAAGTAAGGAATTAAACCTTCAGGCTATTCACTTCAGGCTATTCACAGGCTATTCACTTCACCTGTCACCCAAGTAAGGAATTAGACCTTTATGTTATTCACTTCACTTGTCAGCCAAGTAAGAATTCAGACCTTCAGGCTATTCACTTCACCTGTCAGCCAAGTAAGAATTCAGACCTTCAGGCTATTCATTTCACCTGTCAGCCAAGTAAGAATTCAGACCTTCAGGCTATTCACTTCACCTGTCGCCCAAGTAAGGAATTAGACCTTTAGGCTATTCACTTCACCTGTCAGCCAAGTAAGAATTTAGACCTTTAGACTATTCACTTCACCTGTCAGCCAAGTAAGAATTTATACCTTTAGGCTATTCACTTCACCTGTCAGCCAAGTAAGGAATTAAACCTTCAGGCTATTCACTTCACCTGTCAGCCAAGTAAGGAATTAGACCATCAGGCTATTCACTTCACCTGTCAGCCAAGTAAGAATTTAGACCTTTAGGCTATTCACTTCACCTGTCAGCCAAGTAAGAATTTAGACCTTTAGGCTATTCACTTCATCTGCCAGCCAAGTAAGAATTCAGATCTTCAGGCTATTCACTTCACCTGTCAGCCAAGTTAGGACTTATACCTTCAGACTATTCACTTCACCTGTCAGCCAAGTAAGAATTTAGACCTTTAGGCTATTCACTTCATCTGTCAGCCAAGTAAGAATTTAGACCTTTAGGCTATTCACTTCACCTGTCAGCCAAGTAAGAATTTAGACCTTTAGGCTATTCACTTCAGCTGTCAGCCAAGTTAGAATTTAGACCTTTAGGCTATTCACTTCAGCTGTCAGCCAAGTTAGAATTTAGACCTTTAGGCTATTCACTTCACCTGTCAGCCAAGTAAGGAATTAGACCATTAGGCTATTCACTTCACCTGTCAGCCAAGTAAGGAATTAGACCATTAGGCTATTCACTTCACCTGTCAGTCAAGTAAGGAATTCGACCATCAGGCTATTCACTTCACCTGTCAGTCAAGTAAGGAATTAGACCATCAGGCTATTCACTTCAGCTGTCAGCCAAGTAAAGAATTAAACCTTTAGGCTATTCAATTCACCTGTCAGCCAAGTAAGAATTTAGACCTTTAGGCTATTCACTTCACCTGTCAGCCAAGTAAGAATTCAGACCTTCAGGCTATTCACTTCACCTGTCGCCCAAGTAAGGAATTAGACCATCAGGCTATTCACTTCACCTGTCAGCCAAGTAAGGAATTAGACCGTCAGGCTATTCACTTCACCTGTCAGTCAAGTACAGAATTAGACCTTTATGCTATTCACTTCACCTGTCGGCCAAGTAAGGAATTAGACCATCAGGCTATTCACTTCACCTGTCAGTCAAGTAAGGAATTAGACCATCAGGCTATTCACTTCACCTGTCAGCCAAGTAAGGAATTAAACCTTCAGGCTATTCACTTCACCTGTCAGCCAAGTAAGGAATTAGACCATCAGGCTATTCACTTCACTTGTCAGTCAAGTAAGGAATTAGACCATCAGGCTATTCACTTCACCAGGCACCTTGCTAATGATACATAAGTATATAAATCATTAAGTTTTCATGTCACCGTTATCTAGAGATGTATAGCACTCTACATTCATCTACCCCATTGTACGTTTTGCTGTTCACAATTAATTTCAAAGATATTAGGTATACCGATACATTTTAGCATCTTTTAGCCAGACTTCAGCTGCCTTACAAGTTAACTGTTGACAGCTGAGGATAAAAAATCCATTTATTTGCTTGTTGCTTTTAGTGTTGAATTTGATTCTACCGATGGCTTTTTGTTTTGTCTTTCAGATGTCTGATTACGTTCGTATAGCTGGAGCAGTTTTATTACCTCATGTTGGAGGGGTTCTTGGTGGACTAGTGACCAAAAACAATATCCCTACTTGGTTTGAGGTAAAATGATTGACATGAGACAGAGGTTTTGTTTTCATTGATACCCTTAATAGAATTAAGTATTTTCAATTCACCATTTATTTCACAATGATGGTTCTGTAAGCTAAAATTATGTTGAAAACTGCCTCCTTGGATCTATAAATATCTTGAAATCAGGTACTGTCTTTATCTGTCAATAATTCCTGAATGTTGACAAATTAGTCTAGCAACTGTAATAAGAGAAAGCATTTACTGTAATCAATCCAATAAGTTAACCTAAATATGTAATTGGTCTTCTGTTTCCTGCGTTTCTGATTTAATAGTCATTTTGCTGTTTTGGTTAATATGTGTGAAAATGAGGCATTGCAAATAATACATACCTGCTCTGGACAATAATGCAATAAAAGATTGGTAGATGTGTGAAATTTGATCACAATTCCTTAAGGAGTGAAGCTGACCATAACCTTAAAACTGGAACTTATAGGCAAATGTTTGATAAAAAATGCTCAATGAATATAGTCACTAACTAGTATACTAACAAAGATTTTTCAAAAAAGCATTAAGGATGACCTTGATCTTATATTTCTGAAACCTGATATCCTTCAAGATATTATGGTCCTATATTTGTCCATTTGGGATAATAGGATCCTTTACAAGTACCTGTGTGTAAATCTAGATCAAAATCTCTCAAGGAAAATAGTCACAGGAAAGTTGACGAGGATTTAATTAAAAAAATTTACTCAAACCCATCTGAGATATAAATGCTTAAAGTTTGATCAAATTTCCAAGGGGATGAAGTTGCTAGAACACAAACAAGGATTTCCTTTAAATGATAATGGTGACCTTGAACTTATTACACCAAAAATCTAACACTACAAATAAAACCAATCTTGTATACAATTATATACAAGTGTTGAAGTTCAATTCAAATCTCTCAAGGAATGAAGTTGCCATGCTATGGTGCTTACACTGAAAATAACAGTTGTGACCTTGATCCTGCAAACTAGAACTTGTCCAAGATTAAATGGTTTTATAAGTATAAATTCAAAGTATTTAAAAATTTGACAGATATGAGAGTTGTGTACATTTTGTAACATCTCTTTATCCCCAAACTCCAAACTTGTAGGTGCAAAGGTATAGTATTGGGACTTTCAGCAAACCCCTGACACACTAAATCATTTTTGTTTGGTTTTCATATATTTAATGAGGTTTTGTGAACAGACATTACTTTTCTGTAAATAAAAAATATTTAGAAAAAACCCTAGATGTTACAGATGTTTTATTTTTGTTTTTAAAGCATTTGAAGTTTCCCACCTGGCGCCCCCCAAACTGGGTGTTTGGACCAATGTGGACCACACTGTACACAGGAATGGGCACTGCATCTTACTTAGTGTGGAGGGATGGAGGAGGCTTTGGTGGCGAGGCAGCCATGCCATTGGCATTGTACGGAACACAGCTTGCCCTCAACTGGGCCTGGACACCTCTTTTCTTCGGGGCTCATAAACTTGGTTTGGTAGGCATTCCTTCTGTCACTTAGAGAGAACTTACTTCACTATCATATATTTTTACTTCACTATCATATATTTTTTCCCCTGTTGACAGAGATTAAATATGGCTGTGGAAATCTGCAGCATTTTGGTAATAAGTCCCATCTTGGTCCAGATTATTGTTTTAGCTCTGCAATCCTGAATTTTTAGTCGACTTCACACAAATATGAAATACATGTAGTAGTAAACAAAGGTAAAAAATTGTAAAAATCTAAAATTATCAATTAAATGAAGCAGTTGAAGACTTTTATAAAAATTCCAAATTCACTTTAATGTAAGCTAGACAAATGAATGTTACAATTCATAATGATAAATGATCCTAAGGGGTCCTAAGAAACCAGGTTTCCACTGTTACCTAAACTATTAAGGATTAATGATTTCTTGTGTTATAGTGTTCATACTATCTTTAAATGTGAAATGTTGACCTTTAGTAAATATAGCATCTCCAAGAAAGAATCTGGTTACTGTGTTTTGTTCCTGGTAAATTGATTTTTACTGCAGCAGTTTCATGTGTGGATTATTTTTTGTCCCATAAAACACAAAATTATATTCTTGTGAATTGTATTAAATTCATCTACTGGTAAATTGTATGCTAATGATGTACATTATATTCTTTTCAGTCACTGATTGAAATCGGATTTCTGTGGGGTGGGATTGCTGCCACGACCTATGCCTTCCATCCCATCAATAAAACCGCCTCCTACTTAATGTTGCCTTATTTGGCATGGGTGACCTTTGCTGGGGCCTTGAACTACAGTATATGGAAGCTCAACAAAGACAGAAAGGACTAAGCTTGCATTGCATGCAGACCAATATTGTATTTATTATATTAGATTGTGTTGGAACACAAGATGGTTCATATTCACTAAATGTGTCCGCATACTCAGTAGACTTTTCATTGATGTATTTCTGTAGTGGAAATGACATCTCAGAATCAATGATGGAACATGCATTTATTCCATAGAACTTTATATCTACACTCAAAAGATATTATTTTATACACACCCATGTGGGAGCATTTTCTGATAAAAGTGATATATGGATAAAATATAGTCATAAAAAGGACAAGTTTACATGGATTATATTTTATGTGTTACTGCTTCATTAAAGTGAATCTTTATTATTTATCTTGATAATTGATGCAAACACTGAATGAAAATTAATGTTTTATGCAGAAAGAGAATCTTACTCGATAAATCAATCTAAGACCTCACAATGTATACAGGTAGTAGTGTTTTGTTTAATGCATTTAGTGCTAAAACTGTGAAGCTGTGTAGCATTTGTCCTGATAATTTATACGAAACAAATATTGTAGATATTTTATGCATTACTCTAAGACTCCACTATTTACACTGCTAGTCTCTTGTGTAATGCATTTAGTGTTGGCTCGAATCTCAGCAGTGGAATATCTACTGCTGTGGATTCCAAGCATCAGAGCAACAAAAGGATTCTGTGCATCAGACAGAAAACGAATTAGTAATTTTCTTTTTGAAAATATTTAAAAACTGAATTTATGTTTAATTCTAGCGTTTGTATAACATCAAATGAATTTAATTCTTGCCTTTTTTTTTTTTTACCTCTTCTTGACCTCAGGTTTAAAAAGAAGTTTTTTGTTGTAGTGGATAAAGTTCACAAGTTTACTCAATGTTTTTGATGTGATGCCATTGCCTTATTGCCTAGTCTTTATTTGATTTCTACTTCCACATGTACAATGCTAGAACTCCATGTATGTGAACTCACTTATGCATATGAAAACTAAAAAAAATTATTGAGTATCCATAGTTTTATTTGTTTTTTCATAACATTTTCATTCATAACACACGACCACAATTTCTCTATGTGATAAGATAGTGCTTTTCAGAAATGGAACATATTGATGAATATGTACTTAATGGATGCTATGGGTGATTATGAAATGAACCAGTCTGATCAAGGGCTCATGAAATATCTTGTACACAATGTTATCATGACAGATGCAAGCACAGATAAGTGTTAACAATATAACTGCATCCACGCCCATTTACAAAAATGGGGAGAAGCATGAGGGATATAATTACATTGGTTTCCATTTATCCCTACACACCTCATTTTGTTATCCAGATGAGGGATCTACAAAACAAGTACTCACCATTAGGTAACACCACATAAAAGTGTTGGCTCTGCATACCATACAACCATTTGATTAGTTCTAACATACTGCGAGACAGTACATATATTAACTAACGATAAAGGCATCATCTACGTTACTGTAAATGAACATCATAAGCAATTGGTAATGCCAAACCAACTACATGCGTATCACTAAATCAGCATAGATTTAGTGTTATTTCTTTCATATCTTGCCGTACCACCATGACTGTGCCAGCTGACACAACTTGAGGCCTCAAATCTGTATAACACAGACGTAGATATCAATCTAGGTCTGTGGTACTACAAGTGATCAGTATATAGGGCCATGTGATGTCAGCATTTGTATTTTCTGACTGTGGAAGACCTACAAGTGTTAGTCAATAACAGTATTACATATGAACTTGACTTCTGTGAAGCTGACTGTTGTAGAGCTACAAGTGTTAGTCAATAACAGTATTACATATGACCTTGACTTCTGTGAAGGTGAATCTGGAAGACCTACAAGTGTTAGTCAATAACAGTATTACATATGACCTTGGCTTCTGTGTAGCTGACTGTTGTAGAGCTACAAGTGTTCGTCAATAACAGTATTACATATGACCTTGACTTCTGTGAAGGTGAATCTGAAAGACCTACAAGTGTTAGTCAATAACAGTATTACATATGACCTTGGCTTCTGTGTAGCTGACTATTGTAGAGGAACAAGTGTTAGTCAATAACAGTATTACATATGACCTTGGCTTCTGTGTAGCTGACTATTGTAGAGGAACAAGTGTTAGTCAATAACAGTATTACATATGACCTTGGCTTCTGTGTAGCTGACTATTGTAGAGGAACAAGTGTTAGTCAATAACAGTATTACATATGACCTTGACTTCTGTGTAGCTGACTGTTGTAGAGCTACAAGTGTTAGTCAATAACAGTATTACATATGACCTTGACCTCTGTTTAGCTGACTGTTGTAGAGCTACAAGTGTTAGTCAATAACAGTATTACATGTGACCTTGACCTCTGTGTAGCTGACTGTTGTAGAGCTACAAGTGTTAATCAATAACAGTGTTACATATGACCTTGACCTCTATGTAGCTGACTGTTGTAGACCTACAAGTGTTAGTCAATAACAGTATTACATATGACCTTGGCTTCTGTGTAGCTGACTGTTGTAGAGAAAATGTATCCTATGGTAACAAAGCTTCAAATGTCGGTCAATTAAATACCTATAGATAGGGTGATAAGTGAAAGGGTAAAGGTGGGACAAGGTAAGTGAATTAGCTTTGTACACTTACAGAACTGGAGTAAATGATGTTCTCGTTGGCTTAGCCATACTTATTATTTTATAAAGCTTAAAAAACTGAGTAGTTCTCACAAACAAGTGTAACACTTAAGTTTCACATTTTTGTACCCAATGTGAATTGTTAGGCTGTGCTACAAAGGTTAAAATAAGAATGGATTGAAGCATAGTTTCTATCAAATACACTGGCTTCAATTGTTGTCTCCTTTGCTAATTAGACAGAAGGGATATATTTAAATAATAGTGATCCACAGATCTATTGCAAAGTTCATGAAAGTATATCAACCTGATCTTTGGATGTTTGGTAAACAATAAAATTAACTGATTTGCTTTGTGATTGGTTTTCTAAAAATACTGATTTGCTTTTAATAGCTCAAGTGAAAGGAAACAAAGATTTAGAATCATAGAATTACTTGTATTTGAGTGCCATATAATGATACAGGTAAATTCAATCTTTACAAAATATTGAAAGATGGTGTTTGTAGCACACAAAAACAGCTTTGAAAGTATTTAAAATATTTCACAATACAAGCTACAATTTCAAATTGGTTCTGAAATTTTGAAATTTTGTAACTAGATTATAAACAATTAAATAGTAACAAGTTCAATAACTCTTCCATTCACTGGTATTAAACATATATGCATGTTCACAAATTGCACTTAATGGAACTGTAGGGTTATCCAGATGTATAGATGAACCAATGGAGAGGACAAACACATGTGACACTTAAGATCTTTTCTATGTTTGATCCTGTTCTCTGCGTATGAATTCCACATCCTTTAGAAATATTGCTTCCTGGGCTACCTTGTATTGTAGAGTTATCTCAACATTTTCCATTTTTGTTGACAGCTTGCGTTGATTTAAAACAGATGTACCTGTAATTAAAAGATGAACAAAATTATTGAAGAGTTGCTTCCCTTGCATCATTGATGAAACAATAACTAACCAAACAATCATCAAAAATTAAAAAAGAATTGGTTCATTCAAGTGCCTTTCTACAATTCAGGAATGTTGTGTGTTCCTCAATCAAGTGCACATAGAGAAAGCTGTTTTATCTTTATATATGACAACTGAAGAAACAACATCAATGTGTAGATACAAGAAGATAACACCATATATCCAGGCAAAGTTTACAAAATTTACTGTCTGTCATTAACTTGTTTTAGTCCAAATGAGAATTTGTATGCAGAGTAATAACAAAATCATTTGAAAAAAGATGGAAAGAAATACTCAGGCTGTTATATTTTTTGTTGAAGATCATTTGCATATACAATGTATTAGAGTAAAACAACTGTGTTTAGTAAATAACATGTTCACCAATGAGACAATCAGTATCATTATGTACATTTCTAAATAATACATTTTCTCAAATTAACAGCAAGTGGCTATGCTGCAAATTGATTGTATAGTGATTTTATTGTTCATTATAGATACTGCATTATAGTGAATTAGTCAACTACATATTTTATCAATGGAGGCAAAAACGCTCATTTATAGCCCCCATGTTTTGGTTCTGCCGCTCACTGTCAAGTAGGATAGCTTGTTTTGTTTTTTCCTGGTCTTTTAGTTTGCTGTTTTCTTCTCCACCATCTTTCTCAGGGCAGCCTACCCCTTCATCAAAGATGCCCAAGATCTTATTGCATTGATATTTTTTTCTTTACAAAATGGTTTTTAATGATTTTGGTCTTGACCTCTGCCCAAAAATGTTGATGTCCTGTATTTTATGTATTTAATACATAACACTTTTTCCAAAGATGCTCCAGGACAAATTTGGCAAAAAAGCTATTTGAAAGACAGTTTGGTTGAAATGATTTAAACCAACATTATCAAAGCATATATTAATCATGGCATTATATATCACTATCTTATCACTTCTTCCCACCAAAACACATTCAAATTAGGAGATTAATAGAACCTTTCGCCCCCATGGAAGTGAAAGAGATGGATCTCAACCCGGGGTAAATGATGATGAAGTTGACAACACAAGGCTTGTTGAGATCACCAAGAAGGGGGTGAATGATTATTATGCCCTGGGTTGGAAAGATCAGGGGCACATTGATTTTGTGCTGTCCATTTGTATGTCTGCTATCAACTTTAACCTAGCCTATAATTATTGTACTGTAAGAGGTAGGTTTTTTTTTACCATGTGACCTTGACCTATGACCTCCATTTGGAAAATTGAAGTGTTGGGCATAACTATTGCACCATAAGAGGTAGGATTTTTATATTTGACGTGTGTACCTTGTACCAAGAGACTGTTGAAGTAGTCCCATAAGTTTTAACCATGTGACCTTGACCATGACCTTTAACCTACATTAGAAAGTAAAAAAAAATCACTTACCACAATGGAGTCATCAGAGTTTCACAAATTGTGCATGCAATTTGCACATGCTTTACACATAGCTATTGTCCCACTTCAGAATTTTGTTACAACTGGCAACTGTTACCCTGCTGTTTTGTTGTCCCGATGCTTGGCATTTTTGACGTGATTTAATTGTTGATGTGATGTTATTGAATTGTTGACTCTGATACCATATCATTGTCCTAACAATCCTTCCTCCCCCCTCCCCTACTCCTCAACCCTATGGTAGGACAAGGCAATCTCACACTGGTAAAAAGTGTGGATTTACCTGTCTAGGGTTAGAGAAAGATAGAAATATTAGCAATGCTATGAAATAATCAACACATGTCTCTCTTGCTGTTTTCAATTTTTACTGAAATATACTTCCAACAATGATAACAATGTAACAATGGTGATAGGCAGGTCAAAATTACCTTCAATCAGGACAGGTGTCAATCTAAATTTCTCAAGGGTATAGGACTGTATTTCATGACATTCCTGACAACCAACAATGAGGCGACAAAGGTCTCTTTCACTGCAAACATGAGTGTGTTAACAAAAACAAAAACAGGCATTTGAAATATAGCATAACAGGACATGAAATTATAAAGAAAGCAAGGTTACAGTGTTGGATGAAATATAATGCACCGTAGTGACTGTAGTATACTATTTGTATTTTGTCAAGGATCACTTTTATTTTTGGGCATATCTATACACAAATAAATGATCTGGTTTATGATGCAATTCTTTTTTAAATGTTGATTTGATTTTTTTGATTCATCAACATAAAATTTTATTCCCAAATGGTCAAAAAAAGTACAACAGGAAATAGATACCCTTATAATCGCTAACCCAAATGTATAAAAAAAACTTAAATTGAACAAAACTCATCCTAAATTAACACAAAATGCTTCAATATTCAATGTGACACCCATGAAATTGTAATGTAGCCCTTAATGTAGTGTTCTGAAGCCTCTATTCATTTTACTGTTGTTTGTGTAATATTGAAATAAGAGAATGGAAATAATGGAAAGAATGTGCATAAAATTGATTTCCTTAATAATGTCAACTTTTATCTTGTATAGCATAGATTTTGATGCAGGTGTCCATGTCAGGTATATTCTTTTATGGTTGACTGAACATTACCATACAGAATTAGCAAAAGATAGACTGGAAGAAAGATATGATATCTTTCATAACATCCAAATATCTTTTTCAAAATAAAGGTGACCTTTGCAGAATATGGGTACCTTTAGTATGTATTACTTTTCAAACTAATGTAAGTCTCATTTATCTGAAAAAAATTAACGAGCATCATATTAGAGACATACATTCAAACAAAGAACAAAAAAAAGTCCTGTTATAATGAGGGAGGACCTTATTCGGCTATCTGAAGAATATGTAATCCAGACAAATTTGCTGGGAATGAAAGTGTCAGGATTATGAAGGGTTCACTGTACTATTACAGCACAGAATTTATCTATGAAACAAGGACAAAGTCATCAAGATCCCCCACTCATGTTCATTTGTAAAATATATACATTTAAAGTGAGCAACATGTAAAACTGGAAAAGTTTTCAGTTAATCAGGTCACAGCAGCCTCATCAAATAAGCACAGAATTTGCCGATAATCAAACTTGAACAAGGGGTTAAGGTAACAAGCCTACCTAGCAAGTCTCATCTTAATTCATTTGTTCCTTCAAAAGATAATGTGTGGAAAGCGTTCAGTTAGAGTGCCAAAAGATATTGGCCAATTCGGTCACAGCAGTCTCATAAAATATGCATAGAATTTGCAGATAATCGAACCTGAACAAGGAATTAAGGTAATAAGTCTACAGCAGTCTCATTAAATATGCGCAGAATTCACTGTTAAGCGAACTTGGGGAAGGGACTAGCGTAGAAAGCGTACCAATCATGTTTCTTCAAAATCCTACCAGTCCTTCAAAAGTTATCCTGGGGAAAGCAGCATCCAAGAGTTATTAAAGAAATCAGCCAATCGGGTCACATCAACCTCAATAAATATGTGCAGAATTTTGCTGTTAATCAATCTTGTGCAAAGAATTAAGGTAACAAATGTACCAACTAAGTTTCATCAAAATCTTATACGTCCTTGAAAAGATATGTGTAAAGCAGTATCCGAGAGTGATTAAAGAAAGTAGTCATTCAGGTCACAGCAGCCTCATTATATATATGCAGAATCTGTCATTAATATGCGGAAAGCAACACCCAGATGGACGGATGGTCGGAACCCTTTTGAATATCACCCACCAACTTGTTGGGTGGGGGATGATATTCTATACTTATTGTTCCTATATCAATATTTATCAGTACTTACTTCTTAGAGCTAATGAAGGTGACACAATCAAGCAGATGGGCACATAATTTAGCAAGGCCATGTTCTCCTTTCTTTTCCTGTAAGAGACAAATTTGATGTGATGATTGGACATCTTGATATGAGAAGTGTTCCTTTACTTTAACTGATATCTAATGGCCATACCTACTCAAGTTCAAACTAGAACACCGACACATTGGAAAATAACTTGCAAACTGTCTGATTATTAAACCTGAGCTGAACAGGAAGGTTACATTGATACACTGCATGTAATATGTCAGAACACAAATTTGATATATTCTATGGACATTACATGACAATTTGGATATTTATTTACTGACATTAAAACCCTTTTTGAGTTACTAAGTAACTAATTGTGTGTTGTGTGATGGAATAAGATCTACTTTATAATTCTAATTGTTTTTATATCCACAGGTTTTATTGAGCTTCAATGAATTCAATTAATTTTTCCACACATTGACCACACATTTGCTCGTTTAATTTTGATCACTTTGGTTTATAATGTCATAAAGTATTTACCAGCAAAAATATTTTAATATTTGACTGTGAACATTAATCCTATGACCTTGACTTTTGGTCAAGTGACTACTCATTGATCAACTTGCCTTCATAACAGGATAGGGAAATATCTATTAACCTATTGATCTTGAATGGGCACTTATTTAATTTAATTTTATTCAACTCCACTTCTTTATTATGTCATCAGAGAACATTTATCAGTGACACTGATGTTTATATATGATATAATCCCAGTTCTATTTACAGAAATAGTGACTTTGACCTCTTAACATGAAAAGCAATCCAAAGCAAGCACTTCCTGAGAAGAAGCTTGACCTTTAACCTCTGGACCAGTAAAGAAATTTCAAGCAAGCTCTTTCTTCACAGAAGTGCTGAATGAAGATAAAGTGTAACTGACCCACCATAAGTGGAGCTATTGTGCAGAAACAAAAAACAGACAGACGAACAACCTGATTACTATTGGGAAGCTGTATTTCTTTCGTACCTACCAGTTATTATTTCAAACTCTATTTCATATTACTGAAATGTGTAATTATTTCCAATAGTTTTACATCGGATTATTAGTTGATACAAGAACTATCTTGATAGAGATCCCACAGGGATCTTGGTGCTCACCATTGTTTGATCTTTATTTGTTCTTTTCTCTTCTTTCCTCTATTTTTGGTCTTAATTATGTGAAATTTGAAAATTCTTTCGAAGATAAAGGTTTTATAATCTTTAAAGCTCAAATCCATGACAATTGCCTGTTAGCTATTTTGTTTTTCTGATCAGTCCAAAAATCAAAGAGCACAACTAGGGACCAAACAGAAGCTACATACTGAGTTTGAAAAAGGTTCATTTTTACTTCTAAAAAAATAGTGAAAACAAATTTCCATAGTCCAGTTTCAAGATGGCCATCTGACAACCATTTTGTTTTTTACATCAATCCCCAAAATGATAGTAATGATAAATTATTACTTTCCAATCACCAATTAAGCCATTTCTTGTTGATTTTCATTTTTCTTTAATCAATCCCCAAATGGTTTATGAATTACTAGAGATTTAGGGAAACCTAGGTGAAATTTTAGAACGATATATCCAGTATTTCTCAAAATATAGCGAAAAACTAATGACTGTCATAAACCAGGATGCTGTCTCTCATCCTTTTTGTTTTCTGATCAGTCTAAAACTTTTGACTTTGTTCAATGCAAATCAAGATGACCCTACATATGATATTTGTGAATGATCAATCAAGTGCTTTTTCACTAATAGCAATAACAGAAATTGCTTAATGTTGGATAGATGACAGATGAAGGGTTATACCAAAAGCCTACCATCTGATACTGGTGAATTAAGAACTTATCACGGACACAGAGCGATTTAATCAGTCCACTATCAAATAATCGTGGGCTATGAAAAAATTACTGACATCAAAAGCAATTTAGGATCAACCAATCATTTTAAAATGTACATTTTTCAAATGTATACATAAGTATATTGCAAGCAGTGGTTCAAGGGCAATAATTTTCATATGATGCTGAGGTTGTTAATTCAAAGGCCAATGTCATCATCAGGAAAGTCTGTTATGATTGAAGCTAGTCTCTTTACAGTAGGTTGTGTAATTGAAGCTTTTCCCATATTTTTTAAAAACAAATTTTTTTCCATAGGTGTAGGGGTTTATGCCTTATGTAATGATAAAATTGAATATCCCCTTCATGTTCAGCCTCTTTAATAATGTCAATAATCAATGACCATGTGAAGGAAGCTAGCCTGTCTGAAGCGTGTCCTTTTAAATAAACTACCGTAGCTAAAACTTTCATGAGCTGTTTTGACACTGAATGGCAATTCAATATCTGGAAAAAGTTCTTTCAGGATTTAAGTAGGCAAAGTATGTTGCCATGATTAAGTACTATTTGCTTCTTATCAACTCTATATTTTTGTTACTTTCAGACTGGAAGGGTTCCTTGGTTGATCTGAAGCATAGACATTGATTCCAGTGACCTCATAATTTACCTGTCCTATGTAATGGTTTAGATCATCCACCATGACCACATCTGGCATTACAGATCGAGTGTGAATAGAGGCACAGTAATTCACTAACTCCTCCACGTTCTTGAGGTATCTGTAAGACAGAGAGTTTATGATCTGTATTTCAAAGCATATGAAGATGTATCCGTTGCTATAGACTGATATGATTTTCGAATAGCATTTGAAAATATTAGTGTTTTATGAGTTTATATTATGAAATTGAAATCATTTCAAGAACCAGAAATTAAGTTTCTGAATTTGCAAGTATAAATAGTGTTGAAGAAATCTGGTCCCTACCACTTCAATAAGAACTGAGAACTGTAGACTGCTAGCATTCAGACTATCATGAGCCCACATATCCAATATATTCACATATAACATGATCTTACTGGAAATGAACATTTTGGAGAATGTTTGCCTCCGGCTTTGGCATGCCATGGACAGCACTTGGAATTTTATCAAGGGGGTGAGGACAGATAAACACCACTGTGAAATCTTTGGCTCCACATGACACAGCACCCTGAAACAGCAGGCTTGTGATGTCGCTGTAGGGAAAATGAATTAGGTATCTTTCGTATTTGTAGATGAACACATAATTATGATATCTTATCTGATAGGTCAAAAGGTTTTTTGATTTTGCAAAACATTTGGTCAATTCTGTTAAGACTGTTACATAAAGGTCACATGTGTATGTGCGCTGCAGCAATAATTAGAACATTCATAAAGGATCTTTATTGTAAATTCTACATTTTGACAGTAATAACATCAGCAATTGGTGTGTTCAGATCAATGAATGATCTACAAGTTTCTTGTCAATATAATCCATTTGCTTCTGAATAAATAATTGCAGTGCACTGAACATCTGTAGAATGTCTGATCTACACGCTATCAGAATACAGTAAAATAAAAAAACTATCATTAGGATTGAACTATTGAGAAATAATATATGGAAGGTCTTCTGTCGACTTGCTTGGTTTCCTCTGGCGTTTCTGTTGCAAATAATCTTGATTATGAACTTGTTTCTAACAATAAGAGTTATTAATCTTAAATCTTTGTCAGTCAATAATGTCTTACTGAGAGGACAGTACCCGTCCAAAGGTATGAAACGCACTCCTGTGGAACTTACTCATTGCCTCGGCCAATGACGGCTAAATGTGGAGAATGGTTTCGCATTTTTTGTAGAATTTCATCTGAGCCTTTCAAGTTGCTTGACCAATCAACAGCATTAGCACCGTCTTTTGTGATCTGAAGCCATGAAGACGTCAGGGGGAACATGTGGCTGAGCATCTCCATTTAAATAGACATCGAGATACGAAATTTGAAAAGCGTCAGTTTTAATCCATTTCATTATTAATAAGACCAATGTTACTTTTTGTCGTGGATCTAAAATTGAGTTTGTCTGTCAGGAATATTCATGTTATTAATTTGTATTCTTCTGACGGGAGACCGCGAGTTTGTGTTTACCGCTACATTACCGGCCTCCAAAATTGGAGATTTCCTACAGTTGCTTATTTTTCGGAATTCATTGGGACTGCACAAACAAACGAAATAATAATTAAGTATTAAAGATTATTGTTGGTGGAGAACATGGCAAATTCTTTACTAGACCAAAACAACCAGAATATCGATATTTATTTTACCAAAGAACTTTTCTGTTAAGATAATTCCACGAAGTTTGGAATTCACACATATTCTGAACCAATTTTAGTATTAAACATAAATTATAATTATAATAATGCTTTATGGAAGTCATGACCATGATTTTGTCTGCATGTTCTTATGTATTGTTCACTACGGACTGTTATATATTTAATGTCCATCACGATCCGCTCACTGTGATCTTCACTTTCTATAAAGAAGGAAAATATCGACATGTTAACAGAATCTTAATTCAAAGACATGTTTCTGAGTAACTATAACAAAATCACAAACTTGAGAAAGATGTAGACGGAGGCCCCCGAAGAAAGTACAAAGGTAATAAACAAATATATAAATATATATAAATCATATTGAGAACTTGTAACTCACATCCTTCACAACCGTAAATTGTACTCTCGTTCACTTCTGTTGGAAAAGAATGCTCTTATCACCAAGAGAGAACGAACGCGTTCCTTCAGTTCAAATATGTTTATCCCTTCTTTCAGATCAGACTATATTTGCGTCACTGGTTATCCGGATTTTGGGAGTCTGTATTCAGTATCAAAACGTCGGATAGAGTTACGAAAACAACTGTGACGTAAAACCCAGTTATCTTACTGACCTTTTGTGTGACCTTGTTGTTAATCATACGATATGAAATTCAATGTCGTTTTTCGATTGTGTGAATGATGTCCCTTTCCTACTGATTATCCAGCTCTCCTTTCTGAACAGGGCATTATTTGAATACTTGTATATTAAGTCGATAAATAAATAGGTAATTATCTGATATTCTGCCTTTTTTCAATTTAGTGATAGAATTATGCAGATACTTCAATAAGAGGATACATTACAGATCAATGAAAGTTTCTTTTATCTCAAAACTCATCAAAGAGCAACATAACCGGATATATAATGTTTTACAATCTATTTTGGAATCCAATAACTATATCTGCATAGCCGTGGTCCACAAAAAAGATAGCTGCGTGATATATTGAAAGCTAGCAGACGACATCGAAGAAACATTCTGTTTCGTTTGAATAAGTATTTTGTAATTTGTAGTAACCGAATTTTCTACTTCCTCTTTCGTTCTGATTGGTTGATAATGACTTCATGTGGTAAAGTTTAGCTAATGACCTCATATTTATATATATGTCTTGATGAGTTTAAAATGGAAATCTAGGACTTTTTTGGGCTATGTATTTTACCATGTCTTGAATGTGTACTCAATGAACCCGTTTTTGACCTCAAGATTGGGCCGTTAGCCTAAAACAGCAGACGAATCACCTTCGAACTGCGGACAACCGATGTTGAAGTTTGTAGCAGACTGACACAGTTTCCATAGGTAATGTATATAGTTGTACTACGATATGCACGTTTTACACCGGTGTCCCCGATTTGTTATTAGATAAAACGTTACCTCCCCAGCTCACATGGTTACCTGCCATGTATTTATCTAACTCTCGCTGTACTACAGTTTTACCATGGGGGAGGAAACAGGTGTCTGTTTTTCATTAACAACCACCCTGTGTACCAAATAACAGAAGTGTGGGGGTTTGAATAAACACTTAACGGTAAAATTAAACGTTTAATATTGCAATCCAATTATACTTTCATGCATTAAGATTCCATAATATTTATTAAATCTTTTTTAATCTTACATAATTTGTCTTTATTTATTTCTACGTTTAGGTTAATTTGTATGTAACTGTACATTTATTGTACTTAGAGTTAAAATTTTAGAACATCATAATTTGTTTTGATGGTTTAAATATAAATATTTCAAAGAGTATAAAAAAAGTAACTTATGTATACATTTAAAAAAAAGAAATTCAGAGCTGTTCTGTTCAAATATCTTACTTTATACAAATACAACTTGTACTTTATACAGACCTATTATATATGTCTTCTGTATTGTTGATGAGAAAAATATTAGTCTGGCACAATTCATCATCAATATTTGGCAACATATTATTCAAAGTTTCATGCTTACTAAGTATAAAATGGTATCTATTGATAATATTAATGTTATAAAACTTACATAAATAGAAGACTTTTTCATTTTGCTTTATGTTCTACTTCATGATAACAAGGTAGATAATCTTTTCTGGTCATGAACATTAAATAATTATTTTTGAGCTGCTATTAGATAGTTAATTATAAGTCATTTAAGTACATAAATATTATCAAATGCTTCAGTTTTATACAATTGTTTGTGTGTTATTTTGCTTTGATTTTGATTGCAGCAAATTAGGAAGTAACACAAAAAATACAGTTTTGCCAACATGCAGTAGTCAAATAACTAAATAGGGGTAATTGATGAAGAAGATTTTTTTCAATGGTCATCAAGTCAAAAGCTGTCACATATTTATGTAATCAGACGATAACTCCTTTTTGTGTTTCCCTTAGCACAAACACTGTCATGAAAGCAGTGTATTTTGTGTCCTTTACTGTAGTGGTCATTTATAAAGGGTCATTTACTGTTCAACAGATGTTAAAATGTCCTTCTGTTTATGAAAATTAATTAGATTACATTGATTTCATTTATGCTGAATGGAAATTAGAATTGAATGCCGATGTTGGAGTATGTGTATGTTTTCTCTTACACCTGTCAGAAAGTTTGTTCAGGCTTGTCATTGGTATGGGATTTATTTGTCTGTCATAATCATTTATTAGACTGGAGATCTCCTCGCAATCTGCAACGGACCTTTTTCAATTTTGTTCTGCTTAATCATATGACACAAAGTATCGTTTTATTGAATGTCAGTTTGATTCCACTGTGTTTGGAAGAGCTACTACCTCTTTTTGTTCTCAACATGTAAATCATGCCCAAATACATCCTCTCATTCTTTTCAATTAATTTCTATCAAACTTGTCAGTAGGCTTAATTACTGTGACATGTTTTCCTTAACAACAATTTGAGTAATTTGTATTTGGAACTGAAGAGTTACTGCCCCTTGTTTGTTCTCCTCTCTTGGTTTTCATCTTATGATTCCTTTTAAACTTGGTTGACATGATCACTATGACATGCTAAGGTATGAAATTGTGTATTCTTGAATGGTGTTTTCATTCAGCACGTTTTGGAAAAGGTCAACCATTGTTTTTTTCAGCTTTTTGATTTGTCTACAGATCATCTCCTTCAATTTTCAACTGGTGTTATTCAGATGTGGAAGACTTTTTAATAATTACTAGATATGTTGCCTTCTCAATGGCATTTCAATTCGAAAATTATTGTTTCAATTCCATATTTGTATTAATTATGATACAATCAATTATTTACCTTTTACATGGGAAAGGCATTTATTTTTCTGTTCTCTTGTTTTAATCTGGTATCATCAATATCTTTTTTTATTATAAGCTTCATTAAAATAGAAACTATTAGCATATACTAAATATGTATAGTTTTGAAGACATATGGCTACAAAGATCCATTTTCATAAAGAATGAGTGTACACATGTGTAACAGATGTCATTATGTATTTCAATGCCTCTTGCAGGGCTCTGCTAGAATTCGAACCTAGCACCTCTGATTGAAATCATGCTGAACTTGTCATGCTAAAGAGATAATCTCTCCAGGGGAAAAATATATTGTATCTAGTCTTTAACACTGTAACACATGTACCATATTTATCCTTTCAAATACCTTTGGTATTTCATGAATTTTATTAGGGGCCAGAATGGAAGTGCTATTTTTGCTAGATGTGCACGCCCATATAAATACTAGTTTAATGAGGGGCCAGAATTGAAGAGCTTTTTTTGGTAGATGTGCACACCCATGTAATTCCTAGTTTATTGTAATTAGGGGCCAGAATGGAAGAGCTGTCTTTGGAAGAGGCACACTATTTGTTTGTGGTTGAAATACCTTGTATTTACAACAGTGGGAGAATGTAATTTGAATGGGATAGTTTGAAATCTTTGAATTAGATCACTTTGTGCATATCATAAGTGTTTTTCTTCAGTTTTCTTTTTCAATACATTTTTCATTTGAACATGTTAAGAATAGTTTTTCCTCTGCTTGATACCCGTTACATGTGTATTTTGATGGTTTGCTAGACTTTAGTAAGGTATACTTTATGAATTCTTTATAAGAATAACCCTGAAAAAAGAACTGATTCCCTTTGGGATCAAATTTAATGTTGATTGACTTTGACTTTTAGTAGAAACTTTAAAGGACCAGCTTAGAGTTGAAGCTTATGCCATTATATGTTACATACATATTGTTAAGTTCCAGTGTGTACAAGACCTGCAATCCTGACTTAGCTGTATAGGATGGTAGATCTTTGATACTAACCCTAACTGCTTATCTGCCATATGTATTTTGTCACAAGTTTGAACAGTTTCCTCCCAAGTGTTTCATGTATTTTGTATTCCATGTGTGTACAAAATGCATAATATCAATCTTTGGGCAGTAAATAATACAGCATGTATATACATCAAGATAAGTCATTGGCAAGCTGCTTCCATGTACATGAATAGATTAGAAACTTCTTTGGCAACTTTGCTAAGAATCACTGCTTCAATATGAAAAAAAATATTTCAGATTTAAACTGAACATTATGTGCTTGAAATTCATTATAGTTCAATGATATGGATTATTAAGATTTTCAGCAATCTACTTAATGTAGGCGTATGTATATTAGTTCAGTGCCATATAATAGTGCTGAGAAATTTTTGTTTTGCTATGTTTGTGAACTTGTATTGTCACCTAAAGGCAGGACCTTCTTGTTGTAGTTGGTAGCTACCTCACTTAACATGTAGTCACTCAAGTTAAACAGTCCCGAAGTAGGCCTCTAGTCTTCATATGAGGTTTTAAATCTAATGATCTACTAGTTATTGTATCCCCTGGTAGCAGGAAACAGTTAATTTGCATTTTTCCTAAAATTATTGGTCATGTTTGAGATATACAGTTATAGCAGTTTGGTTATGAAAATACATCCTTATATGTATATATCTTTATAACCTACATAACAATTACATTAATGGTAGAGAGATAAAAATTGTGTAAATCAAAAATTTCCTCTGATTTCTGACATGTGATTGACATAGTTACCAACTCAAAAAATCTAAAAATGCAATTTTAGCGCTAATTCCAACCTCACACTGCAACTTTATAGAAGAAAATTATTTCTGAACGCCTGTCTTAAAATCGACAACACTGTCATAGTAACAGACTGCTTACATTTCAGCAAATTTCAACTTAGAACACATTCGCAACATGACCACATGTAAACACTATGAAAAATTTCATTTCCTGTAAAGCTAGTTTTTGATGTAGACACAAATTTGAGACTGCCCAAATAGTGATCTTCAACACAATGCAAAAAAACATTCTTCAGAAAAATATGAAACCCCACATCGTCCACTTTAACACGACTAGACCAATATTAGCAAGGATTCATTTTCTAAGTTTTAAATTAAAACCTTTATAAAGAGGTAATCTAATGAATCATATTCACCTGTGGCCAAACTGAGAAACTGTGTTCTGCTGCCCCATTACTTTGAGAAAACATTGCATATTTTCCAAAAGTGCCAAATTATAACTTCAGTGGAAGGTGTAAATATTTTGTTAATTTCATGTATTGGCCATCTTCTAGGTATATACATTATTACGATTAGCAATTTATTTTCAGCATTTGTAATATGGCATGTTTGGAATTCACCATATCTGGCACATGATTTTTAAAAAAAAAAAATCTTTGATATATCTAATCTGATGAGATCATCAAGAATAGCCATGACTGAAAACATCAGGATGAATTTTACTGCCATTTTGGTACCAACATACAATAGTGGTGCAATCATCAACATAGATCCCAGGTGCTTTATAGTCTCTCCATCACACAGCTTGCTGCTAGTGGACAGGTGCTGTAGTCAGCTTGTCGAAAGTTCAATATCCAAAATTCAATATAAGCTCTTCAGTATTGGTGAGTCATCTGGACCTGGGAACTCATTGATTTGGTACTGTGTTTGGAGTAGTTCACTAGCATATTGGGTTTGCACAGGGCGATACAGCTTCCAAGTATTGATGGCCATGGTCAGTCATTTCAGCAACTTTCATTGGAGCTCAGAACTAAGAACAAAGTCTCTCTGTTATTGCTGGAGCAGGCTACTTTTTAATCGACTTGATTTGATGTTGTCCTGAAGCTTTAATTTGTTAATAATAAGAAAGCTAAGGAAAACAGCTCTGTACTCTCCTCTTAGAATGAGAGGGTTGTTTATTGATTTTTTTTTCTGTTTTGCAGAACATGTCATTATAAGGTTGTAAAACAAAGAAAGATTAGCTAAATTGTTGGTAAGTGAAAACATCACCTGTTAAAAGTTCTTTTTTTTCTTGTAGATTGATTC